TTTTTTTACTTATATATATATATATTATTGTCTTTTCTAAGACTAGTTACGGTGATGGCACCTTAGCCAAGTTAATACACCCGTATCACTAACTTAACGTACTCGATTCACCTACTTTAATATATATTAAAATATTGAGAAAGAAAGAAATAAGATCAAAGGAAAGATAGATCCAACATTTCCTTTTCTTTATTCAAAAACTTAATGCATTCATTTCATACTCGTTTCTTCTGCCTTTGCTATTTCATTTTCACGATATTATTGTTTCACGTGAGGATGATCACTTCTCCTCTTTGTTCTACTTTTTTATGTTCACAATTGCATTGTTACATTTCTTAACATTTGTCGTTGCTTAGTTTTCACATTGTATTGTGGCTTCTCCGTTCACTAAAGGTGAGTTTTGCTATGTTTTAATTTCTTGATTTTGATACTTTTGCCTACTCTAGTTTCTTTTTTCCTTTGTAGGATTTTAGTTACTTCATATTTTGTGATTGTCTTTTGCTTAAAACTTATTGTGACCTAATAATGATACTGTTTTCATCATTAGGTAGTATTAATTTGTTGATTATCGTTTGAGGAATAAGGTAGTTTTAATAAATATTTTTTATTATTTTTTCCACATTTTAAAAGAATTTATTTCATAAAGATTATTGCTCGTCAATTGTTCATTTCACAAGAATTATGCTCGAAAATATTGAAGTCAGAAAAAAGGAAATAATTTCACATACTAGGGGTCTAAACTTTTGTCTAGGAAACAGCATGAGATGGTGAGTAACTCATATTTTATTGTTGGCTATTAGTAAAGAATTAATTTTATAGTTAATTTGAACTTACATGAATAATATGTATTTTAGGAACTAGAGCTTGGACACTCCGTGGGCCGAGGTGAACTGTAAAAGCTCACAAGAAAAAGAAATGGATCCTATATTAATGAGAGGGCAAGATTTGTTGGGATAATTTATAGGGACTTTATAGTATACCAACATCTCTTTGAACTTTGATCGTTATAGAAAATTTAGTTAGTCTAAATGTTATTTTCTTATATTTTTTTTTTTTACAATTTCTCCTAGTGTTGAATATTAATGGTCCATATTATCGGTATTTCATACAAGTTTGTAAATGTTTGTTTGGAAGGTGATCAGATGCTTATATTTAGAACTTGTTTTCTTTTTTCTTTTGCAGGAGAAGATTGCACAAGAAATGAGTCAATTCGAAAATTCTACAACAATTTCATCTAGTGATGTGTACCTTGCTTAGGAAAATTAAGGAGGGCTTCATAGTATTATACCTTTAAGTGTAACATAAGATTTTATGTTGTAGGATTTAGTTCTTCTAGTTATGAATCTGGTGAAAATTCTAATTAAAAAAAGAAATTATTAGTTTTAAGGCTAATCTAGCAACAACAAACGAAAATGTCAAGACATTATTAAAAACTGTAATGCTTGCATATACATTCAACTGAAGGAAGACTATATTCCCCCAGAGTTAGCTTCTATGATAAACAATCTTAGTAATCCAACGGAAATAATTATATTAGCTTGAATGAAATTTATGTCTTATATATATTTTATTAATTATGCTAACATGATGAAATTATTTGTTTTTTTTCATAGGCTGAAAAGTGAGCAAGATGTTCTAATAACACCATGTGAAGGATTCTCATTATAGCTAGTAATCCCAATAGTGTTTGACATATTATGTTGGTTTAGTGAAGCTTTTTGAATAACATTTTACGAACTATATAATTAGTTCAAATTTTATGTACTTAACATATTTGAATTTCACATATTATGATTTTTAGTTCAATTTTTATGTACTTAGTTGAATTCATGTGTATTTGATTGAGTTTGGTAAATCATAATGTTTAGTTTATTTTTGTGTACTTAAGTATTTGCGTTTTTATTTTTTTAATTTATATATATTTAAAAAATTAAGAAATTATTTTAAAAGGATGTTAGTTTTGAAATAATAATTTAGATGGAAAGTAAAATAAAATGTAGTTACTTAAATGATAATATTGATAACTTTTAACCAAAAAGATTTGAATAAAATAATTATTAATTTATAATTATTTTTAACAATTAAAACAATTACGTTTTGTGGCGGTCAAGAAAACTAAAAACAAGTTATAAATAATTCAATGCAATTTTTGGCGATATTTAGCCACTAATAAAAATAAAAGATTTAATGGTGAATTTATTAGCAGTTATTTTAAATCTGCCACAAACTTTAAAGGTGACAACTATTTTAACTTTTTAGAAAAACATTTATGGCTGCTTTTAGCTGTTAGAAATTGCAATTTTAACTGTCACAAATTATAAAAAAATAAAAATAAATTAGTGATTAAATACTTTCCCATATATATAATTTCTACTTGAGGACTTGTTTTTAAATAATTCACACACACAATTCAATTCCCTTTGTTGTGTCTTTGTTAACTTCACAAGGTGCTTTCGAAGATGTTGGAAAATAGACTACAAAAGGTCATTTCATGTATAAATTATGCTCTAATCATAGAGGGATGACAAATTTTAGATGGGTCCTTATTGCAAATGAGGTTGTACCTCAACGAAGAAAAGTTAATTACAAAGGAAATGTTATGTTTTAAATTTGAATTTGAGAAAGCGTACAACTCTCTCAATCGGCAATGATAATGTATATGATGGAATACATTTATTTTAGAGCAAAATGGAGAAGGTGGATTAGAGAATGCATATGATATGATCAACTACAATTAAATTATTTACATATCTTATTCATATTTTTGCATCTTTATTAAATTATTGAAATTATAAAAAGAAAATAGGCCAGGATGTTACAAAATATACTTTTGCATACCAGGAAGAATCAACAAACCTTGCTACAAGGATAAAAATTACACGGTACAAATACAATACAATATGAAGCACAATATTTGAAATTGATAAAATATTGTGTGCATATATAAGATCATTAATATTTTTCATGGTTTCGATACAAACACGTGATAATCCCTGTATCATTATTGATGAGTAGCAATGATCCAATTGTCCATCTCCATAAGAATAAAAATGAAAATAACACAAAGGTTCACAAACTTCAGGTTTTGAGTGTATGTCAGGTTACATACCTTCAGTCATCTTGTTTATCCAACCATGTCTCAAACAGAAAAGGATAGTAAGAAATGCGTCGGATAAATGGGTTTCTTGATTCTGAAGGGAACCAGCAGAGAAGAACATACAGAAACAAAAGCATGAGAATGAAGATCACACATAAAACCATAATAGTGGTGGCCAGCCAACTGAGATCACTTATGACAAGGTGGACAGCAGCCATGAATGCCACTGATAGAGATGTAAGAGTGACTCCTAAAACGGGCATTGCCACTTTAAGGGAATAAATGGCCAAAGTTATATCTCCCAATTGAGCCCAAATGAGAATAATAATAGCACTAATGGAACCGTACATGGATACTGTGATGCAGAAAATAAATAGCTTAAACCATGCATGCTTTAGCATGAGGGCCATTCCATGTCCTGGATCAGAGCTATTAGTTCCTCCTGGCAAAGTAATTCCTGTGGAAAATGCTACTGTAGTTATAATGGTTGAAACCAGAATAAGGGTGTTGATTCTGTCCTTGTACAGGTCCATGTTTTCGTTTTGCCATCTCTGATAATAAATTCCACTTTGAGGGAGAGGGACCTTGATAGAATGTGACCCTTTTTCAGCATGTTGCACTACGCAAGCAGATTTAAGTGCAGTCCACACTAGCCGCTACAAATACATGTTTGTGTATCATACATTAAAAAATTCAACAATAAAGAAAGAAATAGTCTAACAAATGTTTAATGAAAGGACTGATGATGCTAATTCTTTTTTGTTTTTTTTGGACAACTTGTGCATGCAAACTATCACAAATAAAGAGAAAGAAACAATGTAAGAGTTTGACCAATAAGAAAATATATAAACAAAATCCTTCCCCTAGCATATTCATCATTAGGTAAATTTCGATCAAATTAAGAACAAAAAAAAGAGTAGATTTCGATAAATCTAAAATTTATTTACTAATGATAAAGTTGTTATCTTAATTTAGAAGAAATTCACTGAGAGGAAGAGGGGGTCTGAGATGGAAATCTGAGATGGAAATCTCTGAGGATGTGTTGGCATGACAAGGTTTTCCCCCATTAAAACTTCTTAACAGGGGTAAGGACATGGCAAAAACAAGGTTTCTTTTCATGACAATAGTGCACTGTTCATTTCTTTGTACTTATGTTGTGATTAAGAGAGCTTCAGGTGTGGTAATTACTTAGTATCCGACAACTCCGGTTGTGTTACATTGGTTAAAGGTGATGATAGGTTTGTATGGTGTAATAATCCCTATTGGATCATGGATCTTATGGTGTCTAGGGAATAGAAGTGTGTTTGAAGATGTTCATGCTCACTTAGCCTATTATATTTCATAAGTTCATTACAAATTTCTAGCAGAACCATATACAAGCACCATAATTTTGAATGTGGATGGTAGTGCTCAGACAAATCAAATATTGGGATTTAGGAGACTTTGTAGAGATCATAATGGTCTTTTCTTAATGGGTTTTTATGGTAGTGTTGGTGAATCTAACATACTCCATGATAAGATTATGGCCTGTTTCATAGGACTTGCATTTGTTGGGAATTTGGTTTCAGAGAACTGATATGTTATTCAAATTCTGCACACAATTCAGTTGGTTCAAGATGAGGTTTAGCATCACTTACCCACAAAGGAGCTCACAATGATTCGTAATTAAATACCAAAGATTGAAATTTCTCTCATATAATATGTTTGGAGAGGGAAATAAGTGTGTTCATCTTTTAGCTAAAATGGTAAATCCACACTGGGAGAACTTGATTACCCTTCATAATCTGCCAGCCAGTCTTGTATTAAGGTCCTACAGGGTGATGGTATCGGAGTTTGTTTAATTAGATCTTAGTTCTTTTATCTTTTTTTTTTTCCTTCATATATCGCTTGTAACAAAAATAAAAAGCTGCTTGCTCTCTTTGATATAGTTATTTTTTCTAACGAAAGTGCATATAATTATTAGTTTAAATATTTTAAATCTACATGGGACTAGTTGTCATGCATATACTACAAACAATTGATGTATGTCATCAATATACATTGAAAAATGGATATGATAAATCATAAATATTTTTTTAATAAGATATAAGTACTCTTTGATTAAGGTGATCAAATGTCGAACTTCTTAAGTTATAAGTTTTGGTATATGATAAATCAAATTGTTAAGAAATATAGAACTTATATAATAATAATTTAATACTTGCCTGGCGAAGGGACGGATTGTTTGGTTTATATTTCAGAGAAATATCAAGAGCTGTTTCATTCTTTTTGTTAACCGAAGTGAGATCTACTCTTTCATTCCATGTTAAGGCATGCACAACTTTTGGATGACACTTCTTGGTAGCCAAATGCAATGGAGTGTTTCCCTCGTTATCCTGGTCATTTATCATGTCTACTAGTCCATCATCTTGCAAGATATATTTTATCACATCAAACTTTCCCATTAGAGCTGCAATGTGAACCATATTTCGACCATAGTTATCAATTATTTCTCTTGGATCTGGACAGTGGTCATGTTCTAGCAATTTCTCCACCACTTTAGTATGCCCACCCGCACAAGCCAAATGAAGAGGAGAAAGACCATCCTTGTCCTTTTCCATGATACAGGAAATACATTCTTGAAGCAACACCTCAACACCATGAACATAACCTATGGATGCGGCATAGTGAATAGGAATCCTTCCTTTGTCATCCTTTAAATGAATCCACTCTTTCTTTGTTGATAATATCATCCGTAAAATACCTGACATATATGTGCGAATAACCAATTAATTGTAGAACCTCATTAAGAAGTATCAACAAATGAATTATGTAGGGGAAACAAGGAATATTAAGAAGAATCCAAATAATTAAAAAGATTTATAAATATTAATACATGAAAAAACAACAATTATAAAAATGAGCTTAATGATGGGAATGTTTAGCTATAGAATACAATGAATTTCATTGATTAATGTTGACCTATCAAGAGAATACTAATTTAATCTATATATGTAACCTTCCCATCTCTTTGGTAGGGATGGCAATGGTCCATGTGAGGGTGGGAAGTAAGGTACCCGTTCCTATACCACCAGAAAAAAAATTAATCTTGTACCATCCTCAAACTTATGTAATTCATGTTTATAAAATTCACAGATATTTATAAAATTTGTTATTTATGTTTATAAAATTTGTAGATTTTTATAAAATTTACCAGATAGGAGTTTAGTCCAATAAATCAACTTAACACCTAGCATTTTTTTTATTACTTGCTATATCAATAAAAAAAAAGTTTTATTTTTCTCTATCATCTTCATTTCTTCTTTCATGACAATTCTCAAGTCAACAACTTCATCAAATCTTTTAGGTTCCAATGTAGTAACATTACATCTAACGTAAATATCTTCAAAGGTTCTACACCTCTCACTCGAAATTCAGTGTTATTATCATAAATTTCTTCATCTTCATAATTTTGCTCTCGCAAATTATCTTCTTCAAACAACACTTGAGCTTTTTTCTTGACATTTCTCCTAATTTCAGTTTGAAAACTCATCATGTTTCGCAATGTGAACCTTTTATTCCAAGTGAACAATAGTATATTATTTAATTCTAATTTATGCAATTTAATAGTAATTATACAAAAAATATTTTGGGGGTAAACGGTGTCGCAAAGAGGATAAGCACAGTGCACCAAATTCAAAAATGTTTATATATGAAATTGATAAATAGTGAAAAGCACGGTATTCAAGTGAAACCACAGGGAACCTCTTTTCCGAAAAGCTCATATAATTAAAAGGTGGGAAGAAGCCTCATCTTAAAAAACTCAAGGGGTGCATACCATCACAGACGTGCATATATATCATCAAAAAGGTTCAACATCAAAAATATGAATATCATATTGGAAAATTCCACAACCTTAGAAGGATACACTACATCAAAAGTGTGTTAGAATGTTGACATCAAAAGAGCGGAATAATAGATTGCAACATGTTCAAAATGTAATTTTACAAAAAAAAAAATGTAGATTCAAATGGTCATATCTTGAGCTCAAAAATAATGAATATGTGAAGACCTTAGTGGTTATGAAGATCCTAAAGAAAGGTCTACATATTTCATGCAGAAGTTGATATAACTCATATGACTTGGATAATGGAAAAAAAAAATTGACATGATACAAACTTTGAAGTTTCTTGACAACATGTCATAACTACAATATTTTTAGCATAACTTAAGCTTTAGAGGTGAAATTAAGGTGTTCTAATAGATATAGATATGGATTTGAGAGCTAACATATTTGTATCAATTAAAAAATTGGTTTGAAGAGAAAAAAGTTATGTCCCGACAATTTTATTTAGTTGTATTTTAAGTATGTCTTCTAAAAACAGGTGTTGTTTACTTGTGTTAAACTCTGAATACCTAATGTGTGGTGTTGTGGTGTGGTTGTGATGCTATTATGGTGTTGTGTAGGTACTAGCTAGTACTATCTTTTGATATGTGTATTTGTTGCATTCCAAGAATTGGTGTGACTATGGTTGAGCAAGAGGTTTTAAATATTGGTTGTTGATTAAGCTTGAAAGGCCACGAAAAAATAAATAAAATACTTGTATATATGGCTGATTGTTATAGTGGAGAAATCCCACCTTGTCTGTGGATACTGGACATAGTCCAAAGGATTGTTTGAGTAAACAAGAAAATTTGTGTGATATTTTCTCTCTTTTTTTATTTATTCATCCATGTCATTGCTACATCAAAGCATATTGAACATCAAAATGTTCTACATATGAGCTTTCTATACATTAGAATGCCAAATATCGTAAAATTGAACATCAAAATCCATAACATCAGAACACTAAGCAACACAATGTTGAACATTAAATGCTATCTGAATACTAAACATGATACTATTTCGCATCAAAATTCATATTTGTGAAAATCCTGACCAAATTTGACATTTTTTTTTCCTTTCAAATATGCATACTTGAGATGTATAAATTTTGTTTGTCAAAAGTGTTAAAAAGAAAGTGTTTAGGGTTTAGAGTTTAGAGATTAGGTAATTAAATAGTATATAAGTGGAAAACAACCCTCACCTTACAAGTCAGTTTTGTAGGGTCGAGTTAGGCCCAAATCCACTATTCTAAGATGATATCAGAGCTATCCTAGATCCTTAAAATGGGTCGTCTATCCTAGATCATTCAAAAGGGTTACTCACCATTTATCCACGTACCAAGCCCAACAGTGCTGGATATGAGGGGGTGTCTTGGGAATAACCACTACAAGAAAAAAGATTATTATCTACGGAATTTTCCGTAGATAACGTTATCTACGGAAAATTCCGTAGATAATATTCCGTAGATAATATTCCGTAGATAATATTCCGTAGATAATATTCCGTAGATAATATTCCGTAGATAATATTCCGTAGATAATATTCCGTAGATAATATTCCGTAGATAATATTCCGTAGATAATATTCCGTAGATAATATTCCGTAGATAATATTCCGTAGATAATATTCCGTAGATAATATTCCGTAGATAATATTCCGTAGATAATATTCCGTAGATAATATTCCGTAGATAATATTCCGTAGATAATATTCCGTAGATAATATTCCGTAGATAATATTCCGTAGATAATATTCCGTAGATAATATTCCGTAGATAATATTCCGTAGATAATATTCCGTAGATAATATTCCGTAGATAATATTCCGTAGATAATATTCCGTAGATAATATTCCGTAGATAATATTCCGTAGATAATATTCCGTAGATAATATTCCGTAGATAATATTCCGTAGATAATATTCCGTAGATAATATTCCGTAGATAATATTCCGTAGATAATATTCCGTAGATAATATTCCGTAGATAATATTCCGTAGATAATATTCCGTAGATAATATTCCGTAGATAATATTCCGTAGATAATATTCCGTAGATAATATTCCGTAGATAATATTCCGTAGATAATATTCCGTAGATAATATTCCGTAGATAATATTCCGTAGATAATATTCCGTAGATAATATTCCGTAGATAATATTCCGTAGATAATATTCCGTAGATAATATTCCGTAGATAATATTCCGTAGATAATATTCCGTAGATAATATTCCGTAGATAATATTCCGTAGATAATATTCCGTAGATAATATTCCGTAGATAATATTCCGTAGATAATATTCCGTAGATAATATTCCGTAGATAATATTCCGTAGATAATATTCCGTAGATAATATTCCGTAGATAATATTCCGTAGATAATATTCCGTAGATAATATTCCGTAGATAATATTCCGTAGATAATATTCCGTAGATAATATTCCGTAGATAATATTCCGTAGATAATATTCCGTAGATAATATTCCGTAGATAATATTCCGTAGATAATATTCCGTAGATAATATTCCGTAGATAATATTCCGTAGATAATATTCCGTAGATAATATTCCGTAGATAATATTCCGTAGATAATATTCCGTAGATAATATTCCGTAGATAATATTCCGTAGATAATATTCCGTAGATAATATTCCGTAGATAATATTCCGTAGATAATATTCCGTAGATAATATTCCGTAGATAATATTCCGTAGATAATATTCCGTAGATAATATTCCGTAGATAATATTCCGTAGATAATATTCCGTAGATAATATTCCGTAGATAATATTCCGTAGATAATATTCCGTAGATAATATTCCGTAGATAATATTCCGTAGATAATATTCCGTAGATAATATTCCGTAGATAATATTCCGTAGATAATATTCCGTAGATAATATTCCGTAGATAATATTCCGTAGATAATATTCCGTAGATAATATTCCGTAGATAATATTCCGTAGATAATATTCCGTAGATAATATTCCGTAGATAATATTCCGTAGATAATATTCCGTAGATAATATTCCGTAGATAATATTCCGTAGATAATATTCCGTAGATAATATTCCGTAGATAATATTCCGTAGATAATATTCCGTAGATAATATTCCGTAGATAATATTCCGTAGATAATATTCCGTAGATAATATTCCGTAGATAATATTCCGTAGATAATATTCCGTAGATAATATTCCGTAGATAATATTCCGTAGATAATATTCCGTAGATAATATTCCGTAGATAATATTCCGTAGATAATATTCCGTAGATAATATTCCGTAGATAATATTCCGTAGATAATATTCCGTAGATAATATTCCGTAGATAATATTCCGTAGATAATATTCCGTAGATAATATTCCGTAGATAATATTCCGTAGATAATATTCCGTAGATAATATTCCGTAGATAATATTCCGTAGATAATATTCCGTAGATAATATTCCGTAGATAATATTCCGTAGATAATATTCCGTAGATAATATTCCGTAGATAATATTCCGTAGATAATATTCCGTAGATAATATTCCGTAGATAATATTCCGTAGATAATATTCCGTAGATAATATTCCGTAGATAATATTCCGTAGATAATATTCCGTAGATAATATTCCGTAGATAATATTCCGTAGATAATATTCCGTAGATAATATTCCGTAGATAATATTCCGTAGATAATATTCCGTAGATAATATTCCGTAGATAATATTCCGTAGATAATATTCCGTAGATAATATTCCGTAGATAATATTCCGTAGATAATATTCCGTAGATAATATTCCGTAGATAATATTCCGTAGATAATATTCCGTAGATAATATTCCGTAGATAATATTCCGTAGAT